ATTTTCATCAGAAAATGTTTTAATAAAGACATATACTATAAGTATTAGTATATTTATATAAATATTGTTAGTATCAAATTACTTTTACAAGATTTTAAAACTTTGCACTCCCTTCCTAACTTCCTTTCAATAATTACGTTTAGCATTTCAAAATAATATATAACATACCGACTGACTTTGTCAACTAGAGTTAACATTTTACCATGAATAAAATCTATCATTTATATAAATTCATAATTGATCTCCAAATCAACATGTGTTTGCAGTGCAAGTAAAAAAAAAGCTCTTACTCTCCACTGGAAGACAACGAGGCTCCTTCCAGTTTAGTTTCCTTTTGCGCTGGGGCATCACAGCTGGTAGGCTCTATGGCTTCAACAGGGACATCCTCATTGAGACTGTCATTCAGTTCCTCTGGAAAAAAGATTAACTATACAAATGACCCAGAGGGAGAGACAGAAAACTACAAACAAACTGAAGAAAAAACACAGAACCAACAACAAAGAGAAAGCAAAACTTGGGATTACAAAATCAATGTCTGAATAATTTTAAAGAGGAACTAAAACACATGACCTTTAATTCAACATTCTGACTGACAAAATGTCTGTTTTCCTTAAGCTCACACTTCAAAACGATAAAGATCTAAAAGACTGATAAACAACTCAGACCATCTTGTGGGTTTGAGAACAAAAGTAAATTCAGAAGCGAAATACAGGAACAACTAGGCCTAACTAAGCGGAGTACTAAAAGTTGAAGCACAACTTGTCATTGTTAGACTCTAAAGAACGGCACAACACTGAACCAATGTGACAACGGCTTAGATTATTAAACTCTTCAGCCCCAGTAAACTGACCACCAAGAGCTTCTCTTGTACTGAACCAATTTCACTATTACAAATGCAGGACGTTTGATTAGGCCTTTTAGACACTCACATCATTTGTAAGTGCAGACAAAGTCATTAACTACTATTACCCGTTTGGCAGCGGTCAGGGGACAGCCCACTCACACAAAGGCATGCTTAGTTCTGCAGTGAAAAGAGTCGACTGTTCCCTTTAAAATCCTGCACCAGCTGGTCCTAAACTGGGTTCAGGATACATTATGTCCTGTTCATACAGAAGGGCAAATAGTAGGGCTGCTCGATTATGGCAAAAATCATAATCTCGATTATTTGGGTCAATAATTGATATCACGATTATTAAAAACAATTATCCATTTACTTTGAAAACATCAATTTATTGGAGAATTTTTTTTTGAACAGTATGTTTTTAACAGTTGATTACCCTGAACTTTAAGTATAATTCAAGTGAAAAACCAATACAAAAAATAATTAATTTGAAAAAATAAAAGTAATAATAAAAAAATAATCGTTTTATTTCGATTACATTGTTTTCGTAATTGCGATTAAAATACGATTAATTGAGCAGCCCTAGCAAATAGGCAGTCTCACCTTAACAGAGACTGTGACTGTCAGTAAAAAAGAAAATCTTTTTTTCTTCTTCAAGGAAACAGGAAATACCAGATCCTTAAGGCTGCCATTAATTGGTCCTCTTGCCACTTTCTCTGCTAAGTGATTTCATGATAAGAATTGTTTGAAGTTAAAAGTTGGAATATGTGTAGAGGACTGATGTCACTTATAGTCTAATGCCTTTTCAAGAAAACATACTTAAATGTGTGTGTTTTGTCCAGACAAAAATATGCAGTTTACTGTCATAGAGGAGTATGGAAACCAGAAAGCATCCATATTAAAGAAGCTGGAATAAGATTAATTTGACATTTTGAAGATAAAGTACCAATCTGTGAGATAAAAAGCTAAATGTGTAAGATAAAAAATATATCAGGTTGATGAAGGAAAAGTGAGAAATGAATGTGACTACCTCCATTCTGTGACTCCTCGCTTATCTCCTCCTTGAGATATTCCAGGAGGCCATCAAAGATTTCCAGGAGGTTCTCGGTTGAATCTTTGTCCCCTCTGACAACATTTTCTCCTGCAAACACACAGCAATTATCAGTATTACTTTCAGTACTTTTGCAGAAGAAAAGGGTCGATTGTTAAAGTGACCTTGTGTTTTGGTTTACCCCTTCAGAACAGAAGGATATGGGGCCATGCAGCCAAAAATAAAGTGACTTGAAAGTAACATTTTCTACCATCTGAAGTATGTAGCAGTTCATTTTAGATGTTCTTATCTTAATAATTACTGTTGCAAAGAGTGAACGTGCATTATACCTGTAATGTGTGAGAGGCTGATCTGAAGGTAATCCAGGGAGAGTGAATCGATTACAGACTGAACGTTATGGGCTTCATCCTCTTGACTGCATGGCGCTGCAATGTAATCTAAACAAATATATACACATAGACAAATGTTAAACACCAAAGCATGTATGAAACCAGAGAAACAGTGGAATCCACACAACCTTACAGCAACATGCATACACACTTCCTTGAACACATTGGGCTTGTACTTCCTGTACTTAAGAAGGCAGGAAAGAGCTCAGCAACCTTAACAGTCTCATGATGGCATATATAATGGTCTCAGGAAGCATTCCTCACATACTAAGCACACTCAGGAGATCATGCACTAGACTAAAACCTCACAGCTTGTACACCGGCCTTGTGATCAAAATGTATATGCATCGTTTGGTCTTAAAATAATAGTTATTTTCATCAGATTTCAATCGATTATCTTTTGCAATATACATTAATAATCATTTGCTTAATAAAGCTTGTTAGGTCAGTCTCACCAGCACGTCAAATGCTTTAGAAATTCAGTATATTATCCAAGCTGTAATAAGCTGTAAACGGTCAATAATTGTAATTCTACTCAAGAAAAAATGAACTAAAAAAATCAAAATCGGTGCCAATTATTTGTTTAACCAATTGTGTCGACATTTGGTTGATCTGCAGCTTGCTCTTACCTGGAACCTTCTCCCCCAGGATGTTTTCGTACAGAGCAATGAAAACATTTGCATCACAGTCCGTCAGTTTCCTCAGCCTTAGGTTTATGGCACACTTGCTGAGGAGATCATTTGCCACCTCTACCCAATCTGTAGAAATAAAAGCAAAACTCTTGTTCATCACCAACAATCAAGTCCTTAAACAGACATTTGGATTTCATATCTAGAAAGTCTTCCTATAGAGAATAAGGTTACATGTACCATGTATAAATCAAAATCAAATCAAAGTTTAATTATATAGCCCAATATCACTAAACATGTTGGTCTCAGTGGGCTTCACAGATTAACAAACATTAATGTCAGTGCTAAAAGATAAATACAAGTACAATAACATAATAATAAGACAAGATAGAATGTAAAATATAATTAAAATAGATACAAATAAAAAGAAAATCAAAATGCCAAAAGGAAAGTCTTAAGCAAAACAATCTTTAAAGTTTGGACACTGTCTGCCTCCCCAATAACACAGGACGTTGTTTCCAAAGAAAGGGAGAAAGTTAGCTGAATGGCTCATTATTGTGACATTCACTTGTTATTTATATATTTATAAAGCAGGATCAGTACCTCCTCTAGGGGTGATACTTTTAATCATGAATGCCCATCCGCGGCAAACTTAAGTTTGAGAGCGGGGAGTCATCTCTCCCCGTCTTAAACACAATATCTACCTTACTACTAATCTTACACTCATTTTCATCAAGATACTGTTAGTTGTTTGGGTTATTTTACTAATGTATTTGTAATCTAATGATAAAGATGAACTGAAAACGCTACCGTTAAAAAGACTAACGTTACCGGTGGATGACATACATTACGTTTTTAACCAATTATAGCGATGGCCGTGGATTTGGGATGCTAAAACAACAAGCAAAGTATAGTCTGACACTTTTAAGTCACCTCTGGTAGGTTTTGACACAACTTTACCGGTTGAGTTGTCTCTAAAGTAGCTAGCTGCCCGTTGCTACTTGTTTGCTAACGGGAATATCATCAGAGAACACTACACTGTGATACTTAAACAAAACTGTAATTCATCTCTAAAGAATGTGTGTTCATGTAATGACAGGCTCGGTGACAGTAGCAAAGCAACACAAACCTAGCAGCTAATGTTAGCAGAAACATAACGATACGTGTCGCTAGCTTTCCCCCGGACGGGAGCTGCCTTACCTCTCTCTCCCTCCTGGGTGCCCATGAAACGGCTGTCGATGCGAGGCAGTTGGAGCTCAAAATCTACCCACTAGCAGGAAAAAAGTCGTATCATTCAAAGCTCCGTCCTGACAACAGATGGGGTCACAGTTTCGGTGTTTGTTGTGGGTTTCAGTAACATGGAGAAGGAACTACCGTCTCATTTAAAATTGAAGTCTTGTCTGATTGGACGTTACGCTCGGTCTTTGTTTCCGGAAGTGCCCTCTGATGGGGGCGTACCGCCCTCTGCTGGTAACACTGGGTAAAGCGTTATAACGAGTGAAACAATTGTAGTATAGTAGTCATGGGCGTGACTGTTAGAACAATTGGTGGGGACAATTTCGCCACATTTAACATCAGCATAGCAGAAGACAAAATACGTCCCTCCCCTGTTTGTTGAACCTCGAGCACCTGCATGATGACAAACCAATGCATAGACCTCTGGACCACCAATATGTTTTTAAAACAATGAACGCCCAACTATAGGTCTTAATGTGATGTGATTTGGAGTGAATTTGTACCATTATAACCACAACGAGCCAACAACTATGGAGGATAAAACATGATTTAAGAAAAACATAAATACAGGAATAAAAAAAATACAAGAATAAATAAATCTGGAAAAATATACGAATGTATACATTAAATAATAAAACTTGAGAATAAAACAGAACACACATTATATATCTTTAATGTATTTCTACATTTATTTTCACTTAAATGTATATATTTATACATTTTCACACAATGTTGTTTTGCTTGGTAGCCTTGTATTCTGTGGATACGACAACATTTATAACAAATGTACTTTCAATTGCTCTGAAAGTTTCAACAAGTGCACGTGTCTTTAACAATATTTTTGAGTTGCTATCATATTTTATTTCACTTCCTCTGACCAGTCCCATTTTTATTTGGAAGCTTTGTGTCAAGTTTTACACAAGGAGAAACACAGTGACCCTTCTCTCTTCAATAATTATTTTATTAGCTTACAACACCGGAAATTATGGCGTATTCCTGTTCTGTATAAACTGAAATCCCCTGAGACAAAAGTACAATTTGTAATATTGGGCTAAATAAATAAACTTTGATTGACTTTGATTGATGGAATTGGCACAAGACGTACACTTCACTTCAGAGCCAGATATACATGTTTATTAGCGTAAAAAATCGTGTTGCTATTAAAGGTTTTGTTACTATCTAATACTCTAACAGGAGTTTAAGGTGTGATTTTTAACAGGTTTGAGAACACATTTAAAAAGCAGCACAATACACACTAGGATAAATCAACATGATAACTGCATGGCTGGGATTGAACCCACCACCTTCTGACTTAAAGACAGCACAGCCGTATTATGGGCTGCCGGAATGTCCCAATCGACATGATGATAAGCACTTCATCCTGCAGCTTATTGATCACAATCTTGTGGGTTTTGGTTCTCATGAGTTATAGAGCCATCACTTTTTCACAGATCCAGAATCTTTGCAGTTCACATTGTACATCATTCCAGTTGTTTTCCTTTTCAAAAAATCTTATTTCTCCACAATCTTAATCTTTTCCTTCATGTTTGTTGGGCTCCCCATCTTGCAAATAGCTGAAACCAAACCACAAATAATGTGTTCTTAACAGAAAGCACAAACAAATAAGCATGTAGTCAAATCAAGTCATTTGCGACAGTAAAAGATGATGTACACCTGGAAACATTTAGTCACAACTTCAAAGAAATGACTGAACTGAAGACGTATTTGTCCAACAATGAATGAACAACTGAACCTTGTCTCCAGTGCAGTCCCATCCACCCATCTCCAAGTCCCATTTGACTCTCTGTTGGTAAGTCCAATCCATGTGGGCTGTTTGAAGCACCTCGCAAATTCCTTTTTTACAGTAAGAGAAATAATCAATAATAAACATATATAAAATATAAACAACCCTCCACCTTGGCGAGGACTACCCTCATTTGTCTCAGAGACAGATTTCATGCTCTTACACACCTGTTCTTCTTTGCTGTTAATAATGATCAGGTCTGCATCTCTTTTCTGACAGTCATCTCTACTCTCCTTCCAGGACTTTCGAATAGCAGAAATATAATAGAAACTGTGGTTGAAATACACCCATCCTTGTTGGGAGTAATGATCTAACAAGATAACAAATTTGAAGAAAAACTCTCAAATCAGAGTGAAACAAATGAGAGAAGATACATTTAGAAAACCTTTGTATGATATATTTTTGTTTCCATGTTACGAAGCTGTATAATAAGTCTCATTCTCAATACTTACCAAGAGTACTCAGCTTCCTTTTTAAATCTTCTCCCTCAAAGTCTTGCATTCCTCGACCATAACTATCTGAAAGAGAAGGAAGATATGTCTGGGTTACTGCAGTAAACACCGAGGTTAGGATCTCATGGAAAACTTAAAAAATGGCGAATCACTCACAGAAAGAAAGACGCAGGGAAATGTTAAGAGCAGCTTGCAGGACACACAGGAGTCCGAAGCTAACCAGCAGTATGAATTGTAGTTGAAATATAGCCAGTGATGCATGACGTCCACTGTAGTGGACAGGTGGTTAATCATGATTTCCTGCAAACATAACATCAATACTTTGATAATTTATTAATTATATGTTTCCTTAGTTGTTACTTGATATCACCACCTTTTTTATACCTGCAGGGGACGCTTTCCATAAAAGGATTGGCAGGATATAGATGGGTGACTTGGTCCATGTGGATTTCTGTCGTCCATCTTGGTTTAGAGACATGTATCATGCATTTATACTGACTTGGCACTGAGTGGCAGTGTATGGGATGATGCAATAGGGTCCTATGTAGTGGCTGATGGTGCAACTATGCAAAAAAAAACAATGCATATACAAGAAAACACCTTTTGAATAGCTGTCCACTGTAGTGACCTCTATGCATGAAAGGGTTAATTAATCAATGATCATATTAGTTTGTTTACTTTTTTAAGCCAAAAAAAAAGCAAGCCAATCAAAATCCATAAGCAATGGCCTCTAAAGTGAATGCAAAGCCTAATCGGCACAATGCTAAGGTTTTTATGAGCTGGTTTAAAACACTCTGAAGTTGCTGTAAAGTTGTGTAAGTCTAAATTATAATGTGTGTTGATGCATATCTATGCATATTGATGCATTGTGTTGTATTAATTATGTGATGTGTACTTTATTGCAGTGTTATATTAAAAGCTATATATTTTAACTACACTATACCTGTAAAATGAAAATAAGCAACAACTCTCTGTGTAGCACATCAGATCAATGGTCTGTATTTGTTTTATTACAAAGGGGTTTGTCCCAATCAAATTAATTACATTTAAATTGAACATCGTGTTAACACATTTTTAAAACTGAATTATAACATAAAACACACACTATTATTGTTATTTATTTATTTTTGTAAACATATATTTAACCAGGTAAGTACTGTTGAGATCAGAACATCTCTATTCAAGGGGAAACCTTAGTAGTTCACACTAAGGCATAGTTATATTATAGTTAATGACGGGTATGGCAAAGGCCAGAAAGTTGATACCGAAGCAGCCGCGCCGAGATTGCAAAGTGACTCGAACGCAGCCATGCACTTACATAAATATATACATCATGCAACATTAACCAGACATAAGCATATGATAATAAATACTATTCTTCGCCGCCTAAAACTGCAAAACCTCTCTTGTTCTTCATGGTTTGAAGTCAAATGGTCTCTTAATGTTCACAACTCGCTTGCTGTTACAACCTCTGCTGCAGCTTTGACGTATTGATTCTTGTGTACCTTGGACTTTTATTCACAATTCACGCATTTCTTTTAAATTCCAAAGAAAATCATCATTATTGTTGTTTATCAGTGACACATAATGCAAAGACATTTCTTGTTTTTTAATTTGTTATTATCTGAATGACTATACTCTACCCTTATTTATCTGCACCTGAACTGGTTATCTCTGTACTTATTAGTTTGACAATTTTGAAAAATATCACTTACAGTTTGACCATATTCACAAACTCTGAATTATTTTTAAAATGAAAAAATAAATAGGAAAGCATCCATCCATATACACAATTGCACTTCCCTCTATACTTTGAGAACTGCTCTTCATCAACAGGACTTGGAGAAGAGCCAAGTCCTCTTGGTGAAAATAAATGTTGCAACATTAATTTCTCATATGACTTACAAAAAAAACATGACCTGTTTGTCAAATGCAACTCAGTCTATTTTATAGTGAGGGATTCATCGGAAAAGTCAGACTTTGTTTTGAAAATAAAATAAAATCATTACATCTCTAAGACACAACACTAGGACATGATTTCAAGTTGGCATGATTGAAATAAGAAAATCTAAAAGCAGGCGGCCAATATTATAATCTCAAAAGCAGAGAAAAGACACATTTAGAAATTGCAATTACATTTTTTAAATAATCCTAAATATGAGACATGACGTGACTCCAGATATCTACATGAGACCTCCACCTGAGACCCCACCTGGACCTCCACATTTGAATTTAGGCTGAAAATAAGAAATGCAACTTGTTCCTGTTTTTTTCATCATCGTTTTGTGGGACTAGATGTGGAGTTATGCCAATCTCTTCTCACATATCCATCAATTTGTAGTATCACTGCAATGGCTATCTGTCCAGCTTATTCTTGCATCATCGTAATATATTTGTGCGCAGTCTTCGTCCAGCTTCAAAGTTCCATTTGGCTCACCGGTGTACCAGTAGCTGAAACCCCCAAAGGAAAAATAATAATACATTTCAACCTGACATCAACTCAAATCAAAATGCTTTATTATTGATAGAGATAGAATAATAAATATCTATCCTATGTCTGGTTTGTTATCTGACATGAAATAAGCTTTTAAAGGACATCACAAAATGTAGTTGTGTTCAGAGAGGTTGGTAGGATACTAATATACAAATCATTTCTCACTAATGTGAAAATAACATAATTATGACATAAAGCTGCAGAGCGAGTGAGTGTCTGTCACAGCTCACCTTGACAATAGAAAAGTGAAATAATGAATAAACCTTGTGGTCAGCGGAGTCCCATCGACCCACTTCCATCTGCCCTCTGTCTCTCAATCAGTGAGTCCAATCCACACCTTCTTATAAATACTTGCTATGTGTTAGAGAATATTTCTTCCTTACTCCTAAGATATTTAACCTTATTGCCTGTTGACGTTAATAACAAATCCTGTTCGTGACGCCAGCTTTAAGGAATGTGCTCCAGCACTTAGTGTCAAGTTTTATGGCCTGATAGGGAGTTTACGACTGTGGGAACACTGGCTTTCTAAGCTCCACAGATGTGAGAGACATCTCCTGTAGCTCCACAGATGTTTACGCCTCCCCCAATATGCTCATTAACTCTCTGTAAACTAGTTAAAAGGTCTATCGAGAGATAGGCTGATCAGAATTGACATGACAACCCACCCGTGCTGTCTGAACCTTTTGCTGCTGTGACTTGTGATATGAATTCTCCGGGCGTAGAAGAGACCGCGGTACTTTAGAGAATCCGAATGCACTTTCACTATCCGACGTGTTTATGATGCGCCAGCGGACGTCATGAATGCGTCTGCTGCTGTGGGGAAACTATGGAAACTACAGTTTTCTATACAGCGGACTACAACATGAATGTATAATAAGAACGAGGGACTACTGTAAACTCATCTAGAGACTCTGCACCGTGCTCTGATGCTGTTGTTTTATGCTTTATGAACGTGGACAACAGAGAAACATATTCTTCATGACCAAAGTTGGAATTGAAATAAAAAAGGAAAGTGAAACTTATGCTCATCACCTTCTCCCTCCGGTCCACATCAATACAAATGATCCCAATACGTATGATTGTATGGAAATATCTTAAAATCAATACAAATGTATTTATTATAAACGTTAGTCCTTAACATCTATCACTGTGTATATCACCATTCAAACATCTTTTAAAAGTTTAACAAACCCCACACAGCTCAGTAAAGACTGTGAGATGTTGACTTTATTTGATCATTTCAGTAAAAACTAACGTTCATATTTCTCTTTTTGATTATAATACTGATGAACGTTCAGAAAAAAAGCACTTTGGCAACTTACCACATATGTTTTAAAATGCTTAATAAGCACCGTAACTTTCATGATATCATTTCTCGGTCATAATCGGTTATTTCCGTGAACGGCCGACTGTTGAGTGACGGCAAATGCTGCGGCTGCAATGCATTGTGGGGCAGCATTTTCTCCTCTCCTTTCGGTTAGGGAGGTCCAGTGGTTCCTAAGCTAAAGGAGGTTATAAAGGAAGTTTGAAACCTCCTTTCCTTTCATTTGGAGAATTGGAACGGCACTTATCATGGCTGCCAGTGACGTACTTCCGGGTCATTTCACTCCGTTAGGAAGGTTCCTAAGCTAAATGGACTATTGGAATGCAACCCAGGGGCCTCATTTATAAAGGGATATACGCTAAAAAAAATGGCGTACGTCAGTTTCTACGCAATGTTTGCGATTTATAAAATACTAACTTGACGGGGAAATGTGCGGTCCTCCACGCAAACTCTAACCCATGCGTACGCACTAAGCACACAAACGGGAGAGACGAGAAACTGCGACACCGTTGGCAGAAGGAAGAATGGAGAGAAATATGTGGAAATAATACCATAAATAAAATGTTACCTCATTTATCATATATGAAGAATTCATTTTCAAACATTGATTAAAGCCAATCTTAAAATGATTAAACAAACGCCTGTTTGCAACTCCTCAGTGCACACAAAAACATAACTTGGAGAAATAAATAAATACGGATATGTTATTTAAAACCACCTCAAATATGTTGTGTTAATGTTATGAAATGTTTTCTCATAAATGATGCGGTAAGCAGGACATAATTACGTCTAAACTGACGCCGTTTTGCATTTCTATAGGTTGTAGATACGAGCATGGTTTTATATACTATCATGTTTAATCGTGTTTTATGCCATTTGCCAAGACTTGATAAGTCGCTCGTAAAACACAGGAGGTATGGAAGCTAAGAACACCATATGTGGTAAATTGTACAGCTAATATAACACAACACACATTTCCTTTAACTGGTGGATATAGAGTTGCTGCAGTGGAGACGCTGCGCACAGCTGATCGACAGCTGGAACACAAACCACCAAATACAAAAACATAATTCAGATCCAGTCGTCATGACTCCACACCGGAGGGATTCCCCGATCATTTCTTACAGTTTCTCATCAAGGGGGTGTCTCCTGTCCCCGGTACAAACACACTGCCTGAGGAAGGCTATGTGTATTGTTTTTGTCATTAACCTTTTTCGGGCCATTTATTTATTTATTTTTAACCCATAGGGGGCGCCGAAAAAAAATAAAAATAAAAAAGTTAGAAAAAATATATATATATTTTTTTTAATTTCATAACAACACAATTTCCTGATTTTGGATCAACAAAGTACATCTTATTATCTTATACTAACAGAACTACGCATATATTGCGTACAGCGCCCATAAACTATGGCACACCCCCCCCCCAAATCAAGTAAAAACCAGAGGTTTATGTGAAATTGTTCTTTTTTTTAAATAATGGTTTTAGTGTGCAATTATAGGTTTTAATTTTGTATTTGTATTAATTTAAAATAAATCAAATTCCCAAAAAATGTACACAGCTTCTGTGTGCTTTTATTAACATTGACATTTACTGTGTAAGCGGCCGCAGGGGGAGAGCTTTAGAGAGCTCTCTCCTGAAAGACTGAGAGGCTCTGATAACCTAAGCTCAGTGAGGTAAAGGCACACCTTTATATGATCATTATAGTTATAAAAAACAAGAGAATAGGGGAAAAACAGGTATAAAATACTGACAGTACAAAAAAGTTGTTATTAATAAACAAGAATACAGTTTGAAAGGGGAGTGATTTGTAAAATATCCATAAAGAAAAAGAAAATCTGCTTACAGTTCTGTTTCATATGGGTGTTGAGAGATGTTTCCATAGATCTCCTAATGTTGCTCTCAAAGTGCACCAGATTGATGCTTTTAACTTCAATATTAAAAAAAAAAAGTCTTCCCAGGGTTGCATGCCCCCGGACCCCCCTAGAGGAGGTGAGGTCCCCCCCCCCCCACTTAAATCATGTTCAAATGGATAGGAAACTAAATACAGTTGCAAACATCTTGTGTCAATATCTTTCTGTGTTGGTGGTCATGCCACAACCGTGCACGCGCGAATCATAGTGAGTGTCTGCATTTTGGGGGGTGAGGGCGCCAGCTGAAATCTTGCCTAGGGCGGCAAATTGGTCAGGGCCGGCCCTGCATTCATCTATCTGTAGACTGAAAGATAGATGTGCTCAGAAGGTGAATATTTGTAGCTGCAGCACTGACAAAGAATTTGAAGTAAAGCTGCATGACAGCTGGTGGTTTATTATTATTTGAATAAAAAAAAAACAATACAGTAAAGTGTTGTTTAATGCAATACCGAGTACTTGACATTTTAACATTTAATTGATTCATTTATTGTTCCAGGGGATAGAAAAAACTGTATTAGTTTTATTCTCCTTCCCAGACATAATGCCATGCAATCATTACACACATTACAATTATTATCACATGATTATTTGTAAATATTGGCAACCACCATCCATTGAATTATCAGATGGGGTTTAGAGCATCTGCAGAAACAAAACTTTAAACATACATCTAATTCAATAGGAATGATCTTAATTCAAACAGCTTAGGTTATTCCATTGCTTTCACTTTCAGTAAAGGTATAAATACAAATAAGCCAGTGTAATACATGTATTTTAAACAAACTGACATTTACATGCACTGAGAGTGCTGTTGAGGTCAAACGAGCTCAAAACATTTCCTTCCTTATTAAACAAAGCCACAAATCAGATATTCCTAAAGACTTTAAATCTGGTTTGCTTCCCTATCTGTATCTGCGCACGTGCCTCCTTGTCTGTTTTTGAAGTGGAGTTCATTTCATTATTATGTTGCGTTATATAGCCAACATCTTTTCACAGATCCAGAAGTTTTGATCTCCACATTGAATATCATTCCAGCTGTTCTCCAGGTCAAAAAACCTTATTTCTACACAGTCCTCCACATTGCCTTCAAAGCTGTTCGGCTCCCCGGGTCCCCAGTAGCTGAAACCAAAACACAAATCCTCTTTAACAACAAACATAACACAAGATGCATCTGATAAACTGTTTAAATTGCACAATTAAATGTTCCCTTTGAATCATTTTAGATATATTTATTAATCTAACATGAACATCTACAAGACGCTTTTTTGATTTAATGTCATTTGAAAAAAAAGCTATGAGCTAACCTTTTGTGGAGTGGAGTGCCATCCACCCACTTCCAAGTATCTTCCGTTTTTACGTCCGTCAGTCCAATCCATGTGAGTCTGTTGAATTTTGTTATGAAATCCTGGTTTACAGAGAAAAACACTTATCGTCAATCATTAGTAGAAATGGACGGTGGCCTTGAAACAAGACACTTTTTACGCTGCTATGGATAATCTGTAATAATGCACATTCTATGGACAATTTGCACTAAAGTACATTCTCAAAATATTGAAGTGACTGTTATTTTGTATATATTGATTGTTGTGTTTTTATTTAGATCTTAATGTGTGCACATGTAAAAATGTGTCTTTGACTGTGTATATACATACATATTTGCACACATATTTTTACATTTTATATTCTATATACATTGTTTTTATATTCGGGATTGTAGGAAACAGTATTTCGATCTCTCTGTCTGTACACACAAACTGGAAGATTGACATTAAAGTTGACTTTGACTTTTGACTTGACATCCATCATACGATTCAAAATAGAGGAGATTTTAACGGAAAATGTGTACACAATACGTACACACACACACACACACACAGAGAGAGACACACACACACACACACACAAGCACAAGCACACACACCTGCTCTGCTTTGCTGTTGATGATCATGAGGTCCGCACCTCTCTGCAGACAGTCAGCTCTGCTTTCTAGCCACGTTTTCCTGACAGAAGAAATGTAATAGAAACTGGGACGGATATACACCCAGCCTTGTTGGAAAAAGTGATCTGTGGGACCACAACAAAACCTTAATATCTCAGGACTTAATGTATGTCACTGTACAATTTACAAATTTCAAAAGCAATAATGAATTGATTAATTTAATTTAATCAAATGTAAGCATTATAAAGCTCACAATTAAAAACATGTCCCCAATTTTTTGGCGAGTTTTTTCTTGTTGTCTGCAAGGGTTTAATACGGAGCCCTGGAGGGTTCATAGAGAGAAAAATAATTAAAACGTGGCCACGTTTTACTTTCTCGTGCGCACGCTTTAGTAACTCGTGCGCACGAGTTACTAAAGCGTGCGCACGAGTTACTAAAGCGTGCGCACGAGTTAATAAAGCGTGCGCACGAGTTACTAAAGCGTGCGCACGAGTTAATAAAGCATGGCCTCGTTTTGTGTGTGTGTGTGTGTGTGTGTGTGGGGGGGGTGGGGGGTGGGGGAATTTGTTTATGATAGTATCGTTCGTTCCGGTGCACTCCGGCAGCACATCGAGATTAAGATTAAACACAATTCTTTCACTTGGGAATACACTTAACTATGGGGAACCAGATTTGTTTAACGTACTGTTCGTGGTAATTTGAAAACAAATGCCGGTGGTGTCGGATACACACGAACACGCACACAGAGCGGAGCTGAGCACACACACACACACACACACATCATGCGCCCCACAGGACATCTCCTTCATAAAACGAGGGAGAATACTCTGGTAGTTCGATGTGTGTATAGGTGTGTGTGGTTAAACGTAGCAGCCTCGATCTCTATTCAGCGGTTCTAATGAAGGGAAACGCAGTGAAGTAAACAGTAAAAGGCACAGCTCTTTGCAGCTGGTGCTGCTCTTCTCAGATTCTGCTGAGTTACACGTTACTGCCTCCAGAGCCATGTACGACGAAGCCAGTTCAACAGACCCTGGACTTGGACATGTTCGATTTACCTGGCTTAACTGACCCTAACAAACGCGATGTCGATAAGCGGTCCTACGAAGCTGGTTATCAACTCAGTAAATCAACAAGGGTTTCTCTGTCCGGCTGAGAGCGCGTTCACGTGAAAGGGACGGGGTTAGCAACATTTGACCAATCACAAACATGGAGACTCGTGCTGACAGCGCAGCGTCATACTTCATGAATGAATAGTGTAAATAGCAAATCCTGCTTGGTAGTACAGGCCACTGGTGCCGCAGAGATTTCATAAAGTGAAGGTGGTTTTCCTTCTATAAAACAGCTGTGGGCAGCAGATACTGTGAGTCACGGACAGGAATCCCTCAATTTAAATAAAACGAGGCCACGCTTTATTAACTCGTGCGCACGATTTATTAACTCGTGCGCACGCTTTAGTAACTCGTGCGCACGCTTTAGTAACTCGTGCGCACGCTTTAGTAACTCGTGCGCCCGAGTTACTAAAGCGTGCGCACGAGAAAGTAAAACGTGGCCACGTTTTATTTATTTTTCTCTCTATGAACCCTCCAGGGCTCCGTAGTTTAAGGACAGTCTGCATCAGGCACATTTTTATTTGTCATTTTAGGCTATATAAATAAAATGTAATTGATCGATTTATAATTTCAGGAATTAACAACAAACTTTTTAAAAAAAAGAAGGGTTTTAAACTACATTTTGTTATTCCTTTCTGTAATTTATCCACCTATTACATGTGATAGATTGTACAGGTGTACCTACCAAACGCAATAAAATACAACTTTTCTGCTATAGTGTTATGACTAGGATGTTCAGTTTCTGTTGACATAGAGGGGTTAGTTATTTGTCCCGGCTCTGTGTGGAGGTGTTTTTATAAATGCAACATATCCCTTTCCCCCTACTAAACAAAGTAGAGCCACCAAGCAAAAGGACAAAGGGACACCCAGTGGACAGGGGTCGTCACACATTAAATTATATGTATAAGTCACACACTAGTGAGTGATTGTATTTTACTGGATGACCTTTGTATTGAGAATGCGCATTTCACCACCTTTACCTAAACCTTTAACGATAAACATGTGATTGATATCCAACAATGTCCCCAAAAACTGAACATCATGAGTTTTTTTACAGACAGATACAGTATTATGGCATGGCTGTTTTATTACATTACTTTGCTGAATTTTTAATGTATCGATTTGAATCAGTCCTTAGGCAAAAACGAAGAACCAAATACCTCCAACCTGGCCTGTGTCAAACTAACTTGTTTGTTTCAGCTGTGCAGAAAGTCCAGTTAAAACCAAAAGTGGGTATGCTAATTAACAGCAATATATTTGTATAGTGTTTACCTCAAAAATCCAAACCTCACTATCACCGTAAAGTCCTCATTACAACAGAGCATTATCATTCCATTTTGCACTGTCAATATTTATTGTGAATTTTCATCTGATAGACTACATGATTTCCGATTTGGCCAAAAATGATCCTTTGCATGCAAATCATTATGTGTTTCCTCCTCCCACTGACCAAAGTTAATCAGTTCCTTCTTCAGCTTTTCAGTCTCGTAAGTCAGGTTTGTGCAACTGACATCTATATCTGATGTCTTACTGTCTGAAAGAGCAAAAAAACACTATTTACATTACATTAAACCAACAATGTTCACAACATGCAGTCAGCATCTTAATCAAAGACCATTTTACAAGTAGGCAGGGGGAGAAGCAAATCTGTATAATATATATCATCTAATGTAGAGTGGACTATATGCAAGATAACAGATGCTCAAGTTGTATCTTAGCTGAAAGTAATTGGTTTGCTTCAGAAACAAAAACACGCTTTTATTATGCCATGTGTTGTTATGTCTCAACTTCCCCTAACTATCCAAGCTGAATTGGATATAAACTGTGAGGGAGCATGAGCATAAACAGAGTTATCTTAAATTCTATATTCATACTTAAACCCCTTAAAGAAAGTCTCACATTTTTAAAATGCAATAATTTAACTGTGGTGGAAAGCAGATTTTCTGGTCTTCTGATGAAATGAGACGGTTTGAAATGACTTACAGAGAGTGAAGTGCAGGGAAATGTTGAGAGCAACTTGTAGGATACACAGGAGTCCAAAGCTCATAGCAACCAGTCTGAGTGTTCTCCCTGTGTGCAGAAATCAGACAGACATGCTGACAAAATAAAGACCTACTGCAAGACACAAGTTTACAGCATTATCTGAATAATTTTACTCTGTTGGCATTTTGAATTCACTACATTTTAGGATATGTGCAGACTGAATTCTGCCTGGCAAACTAACTGTACTTGAAAGTAAACCGTGTCAAACATGGATATATAGGATCTTAAGTGAAAAATCACACAATTGACAAATGGAGATATAGATTTGTCCTCAGTATTTCTACAATTAAATCTTCTTTGAATTCTGAACAATACATTCTCAAATTAAAATGTTCATATTGCTTGTACGGTTCAATTTTTTAGAAATGTTAAATTGAATGTTTTCTGTCTCACCGGACACTTCATGAGTCAGCCCAGCGTCTTCACCAGATCCGCTCTCCAGGGCGTTACTCCCGGCTGTCGGCTCAGGTAGATTCACATAGTCCATGGTGATCTCAGATTCCTCTCTATGGATAAACCTTGCCATATTTTACCCGATGACTGGAGACACACGATGGTCAGGCAGAATGCGTATTTCTCTAAAAGAATCTGTTCTGTAATCCACTTCTTCTTCCTCATTTTAACATGTTCCTTACCCTTAACCTTTAACCCACAGCTTGGAACAATGTACAGAAGGAACTGAAACTCTCAGATGTAATCACTATGGGGGAATTCAGGTCCATCTTAAAGGACAGAGAACACGACACCATTGGTAGATGTGAGTGCTCGTATATCCTAAAATCGTTTTAAATTTAGCCAGTTTTGAATGATTTTAATAGTTTGTTTTACTTCGCATATTGACTGGCTAATGTGCCATTTTATTTGTGTTTTACAGCTGTATTTGTCTGCCTGTCATGTCTGTGTTTTATCTGTTGTAACTTCGTACATGCTGCCCTTCTTGGCCAGATCGCTCTTGGAAAAGAGATTTTAATCTCAATGAGTCTTTTACCTGGTTAAATAAAGGATATATATAACCACTGCACTGGCCACAACTTTATCACCTGCAATATGAAGATCCTAAAACATCTTTAAATTACCTTAATTTTAAAGTTGATTCTGTAGTGCCTTATTTATTTAAAATGTTTTCAAACTTTAGCCTTAAAATGATCATACAGTTTCTAGAGTTGTCTTGCTCTTTGAAACATGTGTATTTTTAGTATAATTGTCAACAATGAATTATGACATTAACTTAAGCGGATGATTATTGCATCTCTAATACTTCATGAGCAGTCAGGGCAGTTTGGGAAACATTGCAGTGTATTCAAATACAAATTGTATCTAGAAAACTGCTTATCACACATCTTTAATCATTCTAATTATCATAAATAGAGCATACAAGAGGAACGAAGGACACATTGAAATGAATGAGTAAACATTACATTAGTAAATGGAAACAGAATGTGGCTTAATTGAAGAAAAATCACTTCAGAGGAGTGGATATTAAAAGTATGTTAGCCATTTAAATATATTTGATTAAGTGATATTAACCTTTAAAATCTAAGATCATATGAATATTGGGACAGAGAACATGACTGTTTTGGTACAGATGTTTCTCTGTCTTCTTTGGGATCAAGATAAAGAGGAATTGCAATTTATAAACATGCAGCCTGACGTGCAATGTCGTCACTGCCCTCGAGGTGCTTAACATTTCCAAAAGTGCTCTCAAAGTTGACTGTTTCCTGATACAAAGCAGAAGTGTGCCACAACAAAGTAGAACTCTTTTTGTCAGATATTTTATATCTCAGTGCTTTGTTCTCCCCCCCGATCTGTCTCCTGTTGTTTGAATACATTATAACAAAGAGAAGAGAGACGAAGGGGAAGTTCTTAAAACTACTTATAGAATGAGGCATTACACTTACACAGTGTGTGGGAAGTGTTATCAAAAACAATTTAAAGCACTTGAAACCACATGAAATCACATACCCAACACCCATCTTGTATCAATCTATCCATAGACAAATAAAGTGTATTCACTGCGTACTGGAGCTTTTAACACTTTAACAGTTGTACCTAAGGTTTCCTCTCAGCTTTTAAGCTTTTGAGCCTCCGAGGTATTTTTTGAATTGCTAAAATGAAACATGAAGCAAAAACCGATTGAAACTAGAAGAAGTTTAAGCAGCAAAATTGCATCCCATATCTTGACATCTAAGCAAATTCTGGAAACTAAAAACCCTTTTTTTTGCCATTTCTGGGCAATCTTCAAGACTACAGTCAAGATCTGCTCTTTATGTGTTGAGATAACTATTCATGATTTGGTGTTGTATGCAATAAATAAAGATTGACTTTTAAAAAACATCCCTATAAATTCAACAAACACGACCGTGAGGTGTACAAACACTCACCAATCAAGTGTACATTAATATTTTTGACAAAATTGTTTGAAAAAGATCTGAGGAGTTCTGCTGTGTGTGATGTTGTCTGAATCGTTTAGTGTTTCGACAAATGGAACTCGGTTTTCAAAATTGTGCTTAAGCAATGATAAAAACTTCGAATTGGAAAACCATGATCAAACCGCTTCCTATTAAATTGTTTATATAATATGCCAAAAGATTGATATTAGTGTTTTGTAAAATGAGAAAAAAACCTGTTACATATTTGGCTACTAATAGGTTGAACTATTTCCTTAGAAAAAGTGACGTATAAACAAAAAGGGAAACAGGATATTTTGAGAAACCTGGGGGAAATACTGCTTTTGTGATATTCATTTAATAATGAAAAGGAGAAATTAGTACTCCCAATTCAATAATACAAATATTAAATGCACACTAAAACACTGAATTTTAACATGCTTTTTAGATTTATATATTTAAAATATACGGCTTTAGGTCAAATAAGTTGTTCCTTGTGATTTGTGTTGTACTTTATATTCAAAGGTAAAAGGGTGATGAAGAAATGGCATGTATGAAAGGTTTTGATCATACAGTATACTTTTAAAGAGCTTTCAGTTGTTCTAGTGAAACAGACAGTGAGTCAGTGTGAGTCTTTCTTCACACACTTGTTTCTTCCTGTTTGTGTCCTCTTCTAAATCTAGTCGCAGTGGTAATGGGCTTATTTGCTCACTCTTGAAGAAGACAGTAAGTGTGAACATCCAGTTCACTGATCAGACTGTTAAGAATTTGAGGACAAACATGTTTCAATTTACATTTACTGTACTATCTTTCCTATGTCATTTGTAACTCACCTTGAAAGTTTTGTTTTGAAAATTGTTGGAGGGGATACAAAACCAAGAATAATAAGTTACAAGCCTGGTTATACATTTCTCATTTGTTGGATATAATTTGAACATATTAGCCTATAACAGTAAACGGTGAATAAAACCCAAAATCCACTAATAAAGTAATATTTAGACACTACTTACATTTATTTTACTTTTGACCTCATAATCATCAGTTCATCACTGATAAAATACCATCTTTATGTAAGAGTTTTTTCCATACGGAAAATGTCTTCTTTATTTATATAAGAGGTGTTTTGTTATTCTAACATTAAATACAATAAACTCACATATGGGTGTCTACTGTAACAAAAAATAATAATACTCAAGATGGTAAAATTATTAACTAGGCTTCTTTTTTAACACAGTGTATCAAATGACAAGTTCCCACCATTAGATTATTTATTGGAGATAAAATAAAGAAATTAAATCAAATTATTGTGTTTACCTTGCCTGACCTGCACATAAGAAAGTGCTGCAGTATATGGTTCACTATCGTTTGTGTTGGATCTCCTTAATGCTGCACTGCACACAGTCAAAGTCCAGTTATTATTTACAGTCAGGGCTGAAATGTTTTAGTGCCACCTGCTGGATGTATACATACATGGCGTAGGTGTTTTCACTTACAGTTTATTTTATGTTGCTCACACACTAAAATAACACATGCTGTAAAGAACAATTATTTAATCTCACACTCAAAGAGCAAAACCTCAGCTCAAATCTCCAAACACATGTTTAGCTCTGCACCTTATTTGCAATTCAACTTGCACACAGTTCTCTAAGTAAGACACAGAAATCTGACAAATTCACCAGTTGCCATTTTCAAAACACTGACATTACAAATGCTACACACATTAACCAAAAATACACATGCCAAATGACGGTAAACACCAAACTGCTTAATTGTTGACTCATCACTAGAAAAAGGCTTAATGTAAGAACTACACAAAACACATGGAAATGTCTGAAGAGAAGATGATTTTGTTATTGTTATTGAAGCAAAATTTCACACAATGTAAAGAAGAAATACAATTTTTCTTACAGTTCAGACGTGTAATGAAGGATACTTCCATCACATCAAAAATACCATATTTTCAGCCACATTTGAAAGAAAGTTAAAGCCATTACATTTGTTTGAAGTCAGTCAAGCTAATCTCTTATAATCTGAAAACCTGTATTGTTATTACATATATTTACTCCTGCAATCAACCTAAAAAACAATCCATAATCACATAAGACCCTTTGTGCCGTTTATATATATGCTGTGGTATATACAATTTGACATAATCTGCAAACAAACATGAGTGTGTTTTCTCTCAAACACATCAGTATAAAGAACATATACAATCAACTGGGTTTCTCCTGCAACAAAACTTCAGCACATAAAGTGCCTGAGAAAATATTTCTGCTGAAACTGGGCTATGTTCGCCAAATAAATAATGTCACATTTTAACATTTTCTTTTGATACATTGCCACTGAAAAGTGTTTTTTATCGCCTAAAGCAGAACACACCGTGGGATATTTCAGTCTAATGTGTCACTTTGCCTTAACATAGTTCAATTTAGCTGGTGGGAAATACATGATATCTTAATATTCTTCAATATACAGTTAGTGTCATTACGGTGTGACACCAGTGAGTATTTAGAGCTTCTTTTTTTTCTCGCAGATCCAGAAACGTTCAATTTCACATACTTCATCATTCCAGCTGTTTTGGTGATCACGGAAGTTTATATTCACACAGTCTTCATTTGTATTCTTATAATTGTTGGGTTCCCCGGAATGCCAGAATCTTTAACAGAAAACAAACCAACATGTTTTTTTATGAATAGAAAGCTCAAACAACAATATTAAAAACATTTTTTTTTAAATGATGTCGTTGTTTTATAAAAAGGTTCAAGTACTTCTCTGGTTCGAGGACCATTTGTTTCAACAATAAAGTTGATTTAAAGTGAACAAAAGGGTAATACGTTTACCTTGTTGTAAGTTGTGTCCCATCTACCCATTTCCATTCTCCCTCTGTGTCTCTGTCTGTCAGTCCAATCCAAAATATATTTTTGTGTTGTCTTGTGAAATCCTTGTTTTCAAAGAGAAACAGTAATCAACTAATATTTAAAGAGGACATATTATTCAAATGTTCTGTCTCATATTTGTATTTTGTGAGTCCACTGTGACATATTTCCATGCTTTAATAGGCTTGTAATAGACTTGAACTACATGCACACTCACCTGTTCTTCTCTGCTGTTGATAATCATCAGGTCTGCACCTCTTTGCTGACAGTCCCTTCTGCTGTCTTGCCAGGTCTTCA